AAGTTTTAGAATGGCCCAAAAAGCATTGATTGCCACCGGGCCCAAGTTGGCAAAAAAACCTAGAGAGAGGGGAGGGTTTTCGGCCCAAAAGAAGCCCAAAGATTTATGCTTCAAGTTGCATGGGCGCCACGCGGCGTTGGCAGAAAAATAATTAAAGGGTTTTATCTAATTGTAAGGTAGTTTAATTTGAGACGAAAGACAAACAGAAAATTTCTGAACAACCATTAAACTAGTATGGAAGTTATAAACAATATGGTAGTAAATGGATGGATTTAGCAAGAAAAAGAATAATCCGAAAATAGGGAATTACGATTATTTAGCAAGAAAAAGGAATAATCTGAGCATGTCCAGAGAAGAGAGAATTAATTAATTAATGGGTTTTGAAATTCAAGGAGAAGTAATAATATTCCTTATGGTGTTTGTGGTGGCAAAAACTGGTAATACGAATTAATATTGGACAGTTGCGTTTTGTTTGTTGTAGGTCCAAAGGATGGATGAGTTCTTAATTAACCACAGCCAGCCCCTTTCTAAAAAAGCTGAAGCATATACTTATTTTATGGGATTCTCACGTGCTGTGCAACCGAACATTTTAAACTAAAAAAGAGAATTTTTTGCATGCACACACACAAGGCATTAATTTTGGCACAGTGGAATCTCCACCAACTTAACGCAGGTTTCTGCAGCACTCACATTTAACTTTGGCTTGGCCCCCATCTCATTTCTGCTTACCCACAACCACATAGAAACAAAGATAAATAATTAATGCATCAGTTTCATTTTTCGTGTATTTATATAATTAATGTGTTTCAAACCGTAGCCTCGTCTCTTCTGCGGTCTCTCTCTCTCTCTCTCTCTCTCTTCTAATTGGATCTCAATGCATTCGCATTATACGCAAATTACTACACATCAAACCCACATTTTTTATAGTCTCCTTTTCTTTCACACTTATCTTAAAACTTATATTTTCGATCCAAACGTCGTGGGTTCGAAGGATCTTCCAGTTCTGAAAGTTGTTTGTATAGACATGTACCGTTGATGTTATAGTTGAGTACCACTATTTGTATGCGATTCTGAAGGCATATATATATATATATATTTTTTTTATCTAATTGAGCTATCTATAATCGTGGTCAAATTTAGCTTGTACCTCCTGCATTATCACGTGACATTGGAACAGAACTTAATTGGTCCAATTTAAGTACAAGATGACCTTTCCTTTCGACTTTATGGGGGAAATAAAAGCAACCTTTCATTAAATCTGCATTCAAAAAAATCATGAACAAACCTCCCACTTTACCTCTTGTTTAAACATACCATCTCTCAGATCAGAATTGAATATATGTCTTTGCTGAAATTATTTGTTAATGATAAGATTAAACGTACAAACGGTCTTCCTGTATACATATACATGTATATATGTTTTAACCATACCTCGTGATTCAATTTTCCTATATCTAATAGATTCTTGAAAATATATATATTTCAACCCTATGTCAGGGGTTAAATTTTTTTTATATCTGATAGATTTTTTAATAGCGTATTTAATAAGTTTCTAAACTTTAAAAGATGTATAATAAAGTTTTGAATTTTAAAAAGTGTCTAGATTTGTCCTGTGAGTGCGCTGACTTAGATACTCACAGAAATCAAAAATTTAAAAAGAAAAAAGTATCCTGATTTTTCTTTCGTTTAGTACAATAAATGTGGGAGTGAAAATTTGAGCATTCCATGAAAATAATAGTATCTTATCAATTGAGATATGTTCAAATTAGTAAGCATCTAGTAGGTTATTAATCTTTTAAATTCACATAAGTCGAAAATTGAAAATTTAGAAACCTACTAGATACTATTTAAAATTTAAATCTATCAGTTTTTTTTAGAATAAAGTTTAAATCTATTAATAGAACACATTTTAAAAGCTCAAAAATCTAATTGACACAACACAACTCAAAATATTCATAAACTAGGTAATTGAACTTATATTTAAAAAAACATAGGGATCTAATTTACATATGGTTATAACCTCGTATGTACAAGAATTGGATTTGAATTATTGGAAAGGACGTGTGAATTCAATGTTTGAGACCTTGACCAGGCTTAGCTGTCGWTTAAGGTAACTTTATTGTTCTTTAATGTCTGTTGCAATGCCAATGTTTTTAAGTGGATGGCTTTGTCAGTGACAACCATGGCAAGCCAAAGGCCTGCTCCACACTCCACACCACAAGAGTGAGAGAAAAAAGAAGAGACACTTAAAATAAGTCCTTCAAAAAAATTCATGGGTTGGCTTCAGAAATGGCAATGGCAGCTGAATCCTCTCTCTCTCTCTCTCTCTCTCTCTCTCTCTCTCTCTCTCTTTCTGTGTGTTTTGTACAGTGGGAGGAGAGAGAGAAGAACAAAAAAAAAAGCAACAGAAAATAAAAATCAGTGCACTGGGTAATATTTCCAATGTTCTTTTTTTATTTTCTTTTTCTTCTGAACTAAACCAAACATCAGAAACCTCTGTTTCTTTGTTTTTGCATCATCAACATCATTATATACATACAGAGTTTGGTTTTACAGAGCAATCCCATCCCAGATGTTGACTGGTCAGACAGTCAAACACAGAGGGCTTTGACCAAGTGGGCCCTCTTTCTCAATCCCCAAAAACACACACACATAATATAATACCACTGCTCTGTTCTCTGTTCTGTTCTGTTCTGCCCCTTCCCCCTTACACACTGCCATACTGATACAATAACTTAATTATTTATCCCCTCCAACCACAACAAAAAATAATAATAATAATAATATCTTTCTCAATCCCCAAAAACACACACACATAATATAATACCACTGCTCTGTTCTCTGTTCTGTTCTGTTCTGCCCCTTCCCCCTTACACACTGCCATACTGATACAATAACTTAATTATTTATCCCCTCCAACCACAACAAAAAATAATAATAATAATAATAATAATAAAAGAAGCTCACTGCAAAATCAAACACACCACAGCCATCTCCTCTCTTTCATATTCTTCCTTCCTCTGCTTCTTCGAAAACTGGTTCCTTCTTTTACAGTAAATTCTGTTTACAAAAGTGAATTTTGGTGGGAAAGCAACAGTTTTCTGCTTTTTCCTGTGCTCTCTTCTCTCTCTCTCTCTCTCTTTTAAAGTTGTGAGATGTGAAACTTTGTGGGAAATTTGAAAACTTTTTTTTTTCTTTTCATTTCCAGCAACTCCAACTAACGACACTCTGATGTAAATTCCTTATCCACTTACCTAGATTTTATTCACCACCCTCTCTATTTTCTCTCTCTCTCTCTTGTGTATTGTCTCTCAATTGACAGGACATGGATGGATTTGAATCAACTTTTGGTGATGGTCTGTCTTGTCTCCTCCTCTTGCTGTCTGGACTGTCATGGGAAGAAAAAGAAGAAGAAGAAGAAGAATTACCACATGATCCAGCGGTTAATTCTTCCGTTTTGTAACTAAAACAAGCTGCATCCAACACCCCAACTGGGCTCTGAGGAATTGAACCACCACCGCCACCACCCAATGAATTTCCATACACATTATTAATCAATGACAAATCTTTAATCAGTTCAATACACTTCATCACTCTCTCCTGCAAAACCAAACCCAGAAAGCAAATTTGTAAAATAGAACTCCCCAACAAAGCAAAAGATGTGTTTTTTATTTCAAAAGAGTTAAAAGTGTATACTTTCTCCATATATGGGAAAGAAAGAATTGCTTTATCTATGTCTGGTGCTTGCAATTCTCCTGAAATGGAAATTGCCACAGCCAAAGCAATCTCAGAGGGCCTGAATTCCAAGAAGTCAATGCCTGCATGCGTTTAAAATTCCCAACCACAAAACTGAATCAAACACATTTAATTTATGGGGACTGCAGCAGAAATTTTTCAGTCAGTAAATAGAAAGGGAAAAAAATTCAGAAAACACCTTTAATTGTGCTCAGAATGAGTTGTGCAGATTTTAAGAGGAGAGATAGGCTTGGTACATGCTGCCCAACAGTGATATTTCTGAGGAAATAATCAATGAAAGATAATGGAGTTATGGCTTGCATCTTCCATTTCAACCTACTCAGAACCAGAAGCTCCATTCTTTGTATGGTTCTAGCTTCAAACACAAACTTGGGTTCCTCAACCTGTAGTTGGAAATTGAAAACCATCAATGAAGCAGAAACATTGATCAAGAAAGCTAGCCCTTTTAGAAATTCAGATTTCATTTTACCTGTAAATCTATGGGAAGAGGCACTTCTGTCTCCTCCATCTTAGCTGCTAGAGACACACAAGCCACTGACAGCAGTTGCACAGTCCAGCTTTTGTCCATCTAAATCAAACATGTAAGAAACTTTTCAAAAACATGACAATGAAAATTGAAAGAGAAGAAGAAATTGGTGTTTGATTTTGGAGCTTACGGGCAAGTGATAAACTGAGAGGAAACGGTCCAAGTAGTTCATTGATAGACAAAGACTCAGAGCTCCAAAGCTGTAATGGGCATGAGCCTGTTCATCACAGGACATAGAATCAAATGAGAAACTGATTCTTAAAGTTAATTTAGGATATAATAGAAGAGAAACTACAGTTGAATTTCCTAGATTAACAGGATTGATATAAAAAGTTTTAGAAATGGAGTTAGTACTGGGGGCCATAAAACTGTTAAAATTGGCAAAAGAAAAGCATAAAAGAGTCCCCATTTTTTGAGAAATCAAACCAAACAAACAGAAAAACATAGATCATTTAGAAGGTGAGTAGGAAWAAAGGTTCTGGGAGACCAAATTCCTGTTTTTGATTAAAACACAGCTTCCACTGATGACAAAGACCTTAGAAGAAAAAAGAAAATGAAAACAGTAACCAAAACCAAACAAAACCAACCTTCCAAATCCAATCAACAGCTTCTCTCCTAAACTTCAAGTCCAAATCCCCACTGCGCATTCTCTTAAGATAATCATTTCTAGGCAAATGTTCAATCTCTTTCTCTACCAAAGCCCTCACCCTCTCTTCACTCTCTAAAGCAGAGCCCATCAAAGTCTCACAGTCAACACTCGGGTTTTGACTACCAAACTCATAATTTGTGGCATCACAATTATCAAATTCATCAAAACAACTATTGGTGTTCTCTGTACAGTAAAAACTATCCGCCATTGAAGGATCTCTTAAAATGGGGGCACCTTCAAARTCTCACAAGAAATATCAAACAAATCAAAAACAGCATTTGATGTTTCTTAAGAAATGGGGTATCACAAACCAAGACTTGTTGCCATTAAGCACAAAAAGAACCAAAAAAATAAAAAACCAAAAGAAGAGCTTAGGAGAGAGAATTGAATGAGAGAGAGAAAAGGGATGGTAGAGAGTGGGGATTGAGGACTCAGGACAGACTAATTGGGGAGGGAAGTGGTTTATGTAGGAGATGTGTTAGGGTAAGAGAGTAGAAAAAGAGAGGAAAAAAAAAAGAAAAAAAAAAACTTCTCCTTGGCCCTCTATTCGTGAATACAGTACAAACCAACAAAATTCCATTTTGAAAATAAAGAAAGCAAACGATCCTTTTAATCTTTACACTTGCAATTTGAAATTCCTCTTTGGAGTTATTTTATTAGTCAAACAGAAAGGAGAAAAGGAGTTTTTAAGTATTCATGACTTGAGATACTTGTAATTTCATTAGCTTTTTTTTTTTTTTTAAGTTCTATAAATATTAAAAATGATGACCTTTTTTTTTCATGTTTTGTTTTTAAGTGCTTTTCAACTTTGAATCAATAATTCCAATCTAATTTCAAATATAAAAAACTAATATTTAAAAGTTACTTTTTGAAGTCTGGAAGTTTGACTGTGATTTCAAAATAGATAATAAAGTAAAGAAGAGAATTTCTATTTTACCTAAGCTTGGTAAGTTTGTCTTTTTTTATCTTATGTTTTAATTTCATTAGATTCAACCTTAAATAAGTTGCATAAATATGGCTGTTTTTACATTTTTTAGGCTTTTTGTAAAATAAAAAAAAAACTATACATGTATTCAATGAATTATAAAAACAAAGCTTTGCAACGATTGATGGTATACTGGATAAAGATTGTATTTTTGTCGAAATTGATGAGTATATTGCTGGGAGAATTATATCGAGGGGTAGATCTTGTAGTATAAATTCAATTGCAATGACTTAATCTTGTGCATTGAAACACTGTGACTTGATCTCAATTATGATTGGTTAAGACTTTATTGGATAATTTTATATTGCTTATTGAAATTAGTGAGAATGTAACAAAAATCAAATAAAAAAGTAAAAACTACACCAATAATCCAATTCGCGGAAATTATAAGTTTTGATACAAATTGAGTCACCTTTAACATATTCAAAAGTAAAARTTGAATTATCCTACCTAAAATGTTGATACTTACCAACTTYGTTGGAAGACAAATATCGACCTACCACGTGTCAGAAAATGTGTCAAATTAAAGGACAAAGGATAATACTCTTGTTATTATGTCCAAAGTATATGTATATTTAAAGTCCGACCTATAAGGTCGAACTTTTTCCGTGTTGGGTGATAACTATTCGATCGCTCCACTAACCACACATGTGGATTACGTTCAACGCCTTGGATTTGTAGTAATGTGCTATGTGGTCGAACAACAGTTGCAACCGTCGTTCACCTAGGAAATACAAGAGATGTAACTTCATTTTCAGGTACACGAGTCTTATTGCAAACAATACATTAAAAATTTAGTCTAAGACTAATTTGAGTTTTGGAGTGCAGATCTCACTTGACTCCTTCTACCTAAGAATCTTCCAAGCAATTAGATTTCCACTGAAACAAATCTCAAACCTATAGTTTAATCCATATATAAAAAAAAGACAAAAAAAAAAAAAAAACATCTCGCCCTTTCTCAATTCTCCATCTATAGAAAACTTTTGTAGGAAATAGACCCAAGAGATTTTTGGATTCCCACGTCATATATTACTTTATAGAAACAAATGGCTTTTCAAAATATATTTGTTCAAAGAGAAGAAAAAGGCAATATCGCGAGTCATTTGGAATCTTGGATGCTTCTAATGATCTCTCTTTCATTTTGGGAGGCAAATTTTTCTTTTTAATTTTACAGCCAATATGTTAATCTTATATAAATGGCACAGAAATAAGGTATCATTCACACTTTTAATAAGTTTTATGATTGAAAAATATACTTTACAAGGATGAATTGAAACTTTTACCTACTCGTTATTGATTAAGGATGTGTTTGGAAGTCATGATAGAAAAGATGATTTTGAAAAACAAAGATTTAAGAATAATTGATTTTCCAAAATCACAATCCAAATGACACCTTAAAATTCAATTTTAAGTAATTTTATGTTTTTTTAAAATCAAATTTTTAATTTACCAAACACGCTCCTTAAATTTTTGTCATTGCCAAAATCACACCCTTAAAATTTCCATTCATATTTGAATTCCCTTCTTAGTTGTATACTTGGTTTTGGTATTTGAGTTTTTAAATACTGTGTTTTAGGCTCTTTTAACTCTCAAATATTACATATTATTAGTCTCTCAACTTTTATATTTCTTTTTAAAAAATAGTCAATTATGAATCGGAAAACTTTTTTTTTTCTACTGTTAATCTTTTATAATCTTAAATTTGTTTGAAAACTAGATATATAAGAGCCATAACATATACTAGAAATGTTTTTTTTGGTTGAGTAAATAAATTTTTTGAAAGAGAATGTTGGTTGAAGATTGAAATACTATTTTGGTTGGTCATATACTTTGAACTTTAGTTTATTTATTCGTCATGGTAAATGGACCAAAATATTAATTTTAATCCATTTACTTTCAACCTTGTTTATTTTAGTCTTCGTACTTTTAAAATCTTCATTTTGGCTACTTTACTCCAAAAAAGATGACCACTTTTATCATTTTAAAAAAATTTATAATAAATTCATAATGAGAACTCTTTAATATAAAATTATGATTACATTCAAAAGGCGACAACTTTTATCATTTTAAAAAAATTTAAAATAAATTCATAATGAGAACTCTTTGATATAAAATTATGATTACATTCCAACATATATTGAATGTAGTATTTGGTTTAAATTGTGGTAGAAAAAAATTAAGAAAAAAATTAAATGGTTAAAATAATTACTTTTTATAGTTGTATGGACAAAAATGAATATTTTGAAATGAACGAAAAAATACGAAAAATCAAAATAAACGTACGAAATATATGATAAAAGGAATAAACCGTGTTTTAAGCTAATTAAAATTTAGGAATTAAGAGAGCCCACCAATGAGTTGTATGAAGTAGCAATCAGCAGATAAAAATTTGGTCAATTGTCGTCAAAGTGCAGAGACCGTAGAAAAATTGTGTGGATTCCCTGAAATTCTGAGTTTTTTTTTTTAAGAAATAGAAATAAATAAATAAGATGAAGAGAAAGGGGTATATGCGTCAGAACGAGAAATATATATATTAAGGAAAAAAAATAAAAGAAAAAGGGCAATAAGACTTAGGGTTTGTCACTTAGTTACCGTCCACTGGGTCGCACCTCTTCTTCTATCTAAAGAACATGACGAAACCTCCAACCRTTTCCTTCAGAAATCTCATCATTGCCTTCTCTGTCCTCRCATAATTATTTTCCCCAAAATGCCCACTCCCCTTCCCCCTTTATTTTTTAATTCAAAATGGAAAATTTTCTTTTTCTTTTAACTTTTTTAACCCTAGCAAAATTTATGGTAAAAGTATGATGCMGGAGTTTTTAATTTATTATAAATACAACATGTATTTCAAGTTTTCTAAAGGATAAAACATCATACACGTCTTATAACTCAGGACCAACATGTTATTATAACAATAATAATCACTATTAAAAACCTCACATTGACAAAATAAAGAACTTAACAAAAAAATTTTTATAATATAGATGTGAGCTATTCCCTTCATTAACCATTAATTTTAAAATGGAACTCTGGAATAATCATATTAATAATCACAAAAAGTTGATTTCGATGGGTTATATTCGATATATATGTATAAAAGTAAAAGAAAATGAAACTTTGGAGGGCAGAGTAAGAGAGATAGAGGGATGAAAAGCTTAAGAGAAGATAATGAAATATTCAAAATCGAAGGAAAAGGAAAACTGACGATAACAATAACAATCAATCCCCCTAAGTCACGACTTGAAAAAAGAGACTCACACTATATATAAAGAGAGCGTGGAGAAATGTGAACAATGAGCATCAAAATTGGAATAACAAACCCCCAGAAAGCCAAATTTAAACAAACCCCAACTTAGGATTCCGAATCCTAACATTCAAAAATTTCAAACAACATTTCGTAATTTATATAATCCCCTTTTTCTCATTCTTTTTATGAGAAAAAAAAAACAACCCTTTTGATCTCTTCTCATAGAGATGCTCTCTTTTTCTTTCTGTCTCTCTAATATAATCTCATTTTGCATGAGAGACGAGATATATATATATATATATATATATATATATATTGATAATGCAAATACAAATATGAGATGGGATTCAGCTTTTACAGGATCGTGGATCCACCTCTCTTTTATGGGGTTTGGTTCTAAAAAATATTCAAGGTGGACCGAAACTGCAACACTTTACTACAACAATTCCCAAATCACGTGTACTTTATAAACTTAAACTGCAGCCTTATTGCATATGCCAACACAGGGGATTATAACCCACTCTTTCGACACTTTCTTTAGATCATAACCATACGATATTGTCTACTTTTTAAACTTTTAATGTATTAGATTTTCATTAACTAAGTTGATACTGAATTTTGGACTACGTAATATAGTAGACTACGTTAGCCAAAGAGCCTCACTAAGCCAAATTGGAATGGTGGAGCTGTCTAATATTTTTTTCGTGTGGAGTAGTCGCCTGGTATATCTAAACCTAACACCGGTGTCTGCTCTACCACATATGGCTTTGCAGTTTAAGTTATGACATATTCAAGAATTCGCATATATTTGAGAAATGTTTGATTCCACTATACATAGGAGAACGATTTTGAGGAGATGAGTCTGACCCAGAAATCTAAACTGTATATGTCAGGACGAGGGATCAGTGTCGGTTTTAAGGTTACTCTAACAAACACAGAATCATATATTTCCATCGAATGTTAGTGCATATTACACCGAGCAAACTCTGCTCCAGAAAAATAATCAAATTAGCTTAACTACTCGTCCCGTGACACGTAGACTCGTCCTCCTCTGCTCATTGAGATCAGACTCAAGCTCAACTCCACACAATATCGAACAACCCACACCTGTCGTAGATTTAACCATAACACATTATGTCGTAAATATAATCATCTTGTACATAGATAACCAACGTGGGACTTGGTCGCATCTTGATAGAGGG